TAACCCAAACCCAAACTTAACCATGACAAACAAACTAACTTCTAGTTAAAGTACTCTAATCCTAAAAAACACAGAACTGCAGTTGCTATTACACCAGATCACGATACGAATTAACAAACACGAAAGAAAAAATTGCAACCTACCTATTCCCAGCAAGGTATTTTTAAGTTATTTACATCTAATAATCATACTGCAATTGTTGAATTAAATGGTGAGAATACACAGGTTCCTATTAAACAGGTCAAATCTATATGAAAAAGGTCATAATTTTGAGAGGTTATTCTTTTTTTTTAGTTAGATTTTTTTTTTTTAGCTAGATTTTTTTTTTTAGAGACACTCTTCTGTCAGTATATATTTGTACAGTATTTTTCAAGTGAAGTATTTATAGATTTTCAAATTTCTAACATTTGTAAAATACGCTGTTTCACAGCAGTTTCAGAGGTAATAGCTTCAGGAGTAATAGTAGTTTTAGATACAGTGGTGGTAGTGATTTCAGAAGCAGTAGTTTCAAAGGCGCTGGTAGTTTCAGAGGTGGTGGTAGTTTCAGAAGTAGTAGTGGTTTTAGAGACAGTAGTGGTTTCAGAGACAGTAGTGGTTTCAGAAGCGGTAGTGGTTTTAAAGACAGTAGTGGTAGTTTTAAAGACAGTATTAGTAGTTTCAAAGACATATTCATCAGGTATATTTGCTATAACAAAACAACTTATATGTTTAGTAATTCTAAAGAAGTACCATAACTCTAATATCTAACTAAACTAATTTTTAACCCAAACCCAAACTTAACCATGACAAACAAACTAACTTCTAGTTAAAGTACTCTAATCCTAAAAAACACAGAACCAAATTCTATTTATAGTATCAAGAATAAACAAATTATACAAACCAACTATATTGAGAGTATTGTAAATGTAATGTATCTTCCATTCAAAAATTGCTTCATATAGCATATAGCTATACACTCTGTAGATAGTCGAATTATATAATATAATAAATATATTGATTATATTAATCCAGTCTTTTCTTTGCAGTTAGCTATTTTCATCCCAAAGCAACTTAGTAAAGCCATGGCCCACAGTTTGGTTAAGTTACTCAATTTGACCTTGTGACTGGAGGTGACGAGGCTGACCATACCTAATTATAATATTTAGAGCTTCACATATTTGAGTGATGATTCCTGCAACAAATTCCTTACTATTATCACTTTGAAGAATCACAGGTGGCCTAAGAATCTTAAAAACATCTTTAATAAGATGTGTTGCAACTGTACTTGCTTCTTTATTTTTCATAAGGATGGCAATAAGAAACTTAGAAAATATGCATATGCATGTAAGCAACTATAAAAAATCATCATTCATTTCACTAAAATCATGAAAATCGACTTGGTCGATTTGAATATGTTGTCATTAGCTGTTGATATTACAGGTATTATATCAGTTTTTTCTTTAATAGAGGTGGTTGTAATACAAGCTAGACATTCATTTATGTATACCTTTACTTCTTCCTGAGTGATTCTGACATGTCTCTCTGAAATTGTAGAAAAAGTCTAATAATATTCATGATGATTCACTTGGTCATAAAAATACGCAAAAATCAGAGCACGCATTTCTGCATCATATTTGAAAATGATATAGTGTTTTTCTGACTTAACTACACTATCCTTAACAACTAGCTTAAGATACAAAAAATTATTTTCGTCGACTTCAAGAATTTTGCAGTGACGAACAAAGTTGAATCTTTTTTTTGAATACTATTGGATATCATCAGATATGGTTTTAACAAAAGAAAGTTAACAATTCTTTAATATTCCCCTATTGTTTCAGGAATCTTTGGAATTGATAGCATGCTTAATTAGAAAGGCTTTGTTTAGGGTTAGGGCTTTTTTTTTTTTTTTTTTTTTTAGGGTCAGGGCTTTTGTTAGTTTTTTAGAGTTAGTTTTTTTTTTTTTTATGAGTTGGTAGTGGTACGATACTTGTAAATAGTGAGTGCTTAGGTTCTTGAGCATTTTCAAGTTTCTGAATCTTGATATTTTCAAGTTCTTGAGCAACTGAAGGTTTTTTTTTTTTTACTAGTATTTTATGTTTAGAATTGCTTCTTGTGCATATAAGCATTGAACAGTAAATGCTTTCGGATTCTTTTAGCTTTGATTCTTTTCCATTTTTTTTTTTCGCAGTGGTATTTTTATAAAAGTTTAAATAATAGTGTTAATTAGGTTTAAGTAAACCTTCTACTAATTTTTCTGGTGTGGTTGGTTCTAATGTAAAAATATTTCAAACACAGGCATACGTACGTATGTACAAGAACAAAACTTTTTATTAGCTACAGCATAATGGAAGTTAGTTTTTATTAGCTAAATAACAAATTTTAATTAGTTAAAACTAAAGATTAACCTCTTATAGTTTTTTTGTAAAACTGATTAACCAATTGATATCTAATACTTTATAACTTGCTCACATGAAATTATAAACTTTTAATTGAAAAAACTGGATTTTTATTAGCTATTTCATTTTAAAATACCAAAAATTTAATGTAATTTCTTTGTGTTATATACTGGTATTGTTTTTTTTTTTTTTTTTTATGTTTAAGGTAGCTTATATTACCGATGAGATTTTATTAGTATTTGCATACAGAATTATATATTGATAATCCCTACTGTTTGTAATTACATGAAGAGTATACAACAAGCTACACGTACAACTTTAGTCATTGTCTAATTTAAGTAGTCT